CGACGGGCAGAGACGCGTACATGCTGCTTTGGCGAGCAGATGGCGTTCCCAGCTTTGACCGAATGACCTCACGGCAGCGGCGCGGGCACCTCGGCACCCGCCGACGCCGTAATTGCAGGCCCAGCATCGCTTCCGCCCCTCCCCTCGCCACGTATATATTATAATATACTCGCCTGCCGAATGCTGCAGCAGCGATCGCACCCACCACCCGTCCACTGTCCGCTGCAGATGAGTCCCCTTTGATGTGGATCCGTGTATAATAATTTATACATAAGTGTGGGTGTGTGTGTGTGTGTGTGTGTGTGTGTGTGTGTGTGTGTGTGTGTGTGTGGGTGTGTGTGTGTTGTGTGTGTGTGTGTGTGTGTGTGTGTGTGTTGCTCCAGCCGCGCGACGACTGCACCCACCCCCAAGCGGAACCCCATCGTTATATACCTATGTGTGTGCGTTACGAAATTTGCGGCGACCCGGCGCCGGTGTGATGTGGGTCGCGTGCAGGTTTTCCGACTTTACAGATGATATCGAAGTCGTCGCCGACTATCGGCCGATGTTTATTCCATTATTTAATATTATTCTGTGTATTATTATGCGCAATTATAACCATTCCGAATCAAATGCATTCCGGCCAACGCTTGCAATTTGATGCACCACACGCCACTGCACTGCGCCGGAACGTTAATATATTTTCATGACGTGCCCACCGCCCACAACACTAGAAAATTATTTATATTTACCACACACATACATTTTGATTATTGTTTTATCATAATGAATTTACCACGGTTATCGTCTATACCTATACTAGTTTATACTGTGCTATTATAACTCGGTGTATGGTGGTCGAATCTCGAAATAGCCGTGTAACTGGTCATGGACAGTATGCGAGTTTTTATTTGATTAGGTACCGATAAGCCTATAATATATTTAGTTTTAGATTCTGAGCAGAGCGATATTGAATTCATAATGATCAGTGTTTTTGTTTTGTCTTTCGTGTGTGTTTCTATTTTATGAAGGTAGTTTCTGGTACCTAATAAATTAGAACTATAGTTTGTAGTATGGGCATCAGCGTAACTAGGGGGAGGGGCGCTTAGCCACATCTTTATGTGTATTTAGGCCCCTATAATATACATTGTACTCATTTTATTATTTACATTTTGTTTTTAATGATGAGTTTATGATTTTTCATTTTATTGTTTATTTTTAAATTTGATTTTAGAGTACATAACTGTACTATGGTACATACTATACTATGTACGCTTACTATGGTGGGGGTGTGGGGCCCCCAAAGTTATTTTGAACATAAGTTTTCTAAGACTCTAGCCCTTGCGACTATTAAATCCTAGTTACACCTATGAATATGGGGGACTTGAATCAAAAATGTCCAGTACAGTAATTTGGTGGTGGCCGGGAGGGAGGAAAACATGAATATTTACATAAGATGCATATATTTTATTGTTATTCAAAATAAAATAAACAAATACATAAAATTAAAAATACAATAACCTTAAAAATATTCACCAAATGTTTATGATGTTAACGCCCTCTACGACTCTAATTATGATTTCAAACTATTTCAGCACTTTTTGGGCTATTTATAAGTACTTGGCATTTTTGATTTTTTGTCCTCGTTTTTTTTATTTCAATATAATTTGAATATGATAAACAATAAATGTTATCATAAAAACAGGCGGGCAAATGGGTACAGTGTGGATCACTGTAATGGATGTGTTAAATTTGAATTCAATGACATCGTATACCAAAAACGATTCTTAGCGAAGACGGTCTGTCAGCCTATAAGTATATTTTATGCACAAGACCTTATACTACGGCTAGACTAGCAATGAGTGTATGTCGTATGGAAACCGTAACAACATAAAGGACGCTTTTTTATTACTCGATTACTCGTATCTATGCACTATATATATAGATATATAGATTATTGTATATTTGTATTTTGTAGTCGAGACTGGCTACATCGATGTATTTTTTGTCAAGACAACTTACATCACTGAGAGATGTCGTTACGCCACTCGTTGTTAAACACCAGTTTTTGTCTAGTAGTATAAGGTCTATGATTTTATAATATTGTTGAAGAAGTTAATCGAAATAAACAATCGGTTGAATTAATTTTTGCCGAAAACATTTCATTTGATATACTTTAAAAGTTTTGAGTATCCTCAAATAATATTTTTAAGTCACAAAAAAATAACAAAATTCGTAGCTATAGTAAGCGCGGATGAAGTGAAACTTCTTTACAGAGGATATGATTGTATGAACAAAAAGGTTCGTCGAGGCCAAATATTAAGCTTGTAATGAAAAAATAAAAAAATAAAATGTTCAATTGATATTAATTGTTATTGCTATATCTTATGCCTATAAATAGCTCAAAAAAAAAAATACACATAATTGTACTGCTCAGCTCAGAAAATAATTGAGTTTTTATTTTGATTTTGAATTATTCAACACTCGATGATTACTTTTCTATAATTTCAATGTAAAGACTGCTGACTGCAGATTAAAAACAACTTTCGTTGTCCATTGACTCGATGCCAGAGAGAAAACTATAACTGTCGCCAAGTGCAGCAGCAAGTTCCATGAGTACAAATATTAATGTACAATAACACATTATTTTGTGTCCGTTAACCGTAATATAATAAACAGAACGTATGTTTTTATATAATATAACATAGTATCTTCGCAGCGACCGCGTCTACAATTACATAGATGATATTTTGCCATAAACGCTACAGCTTTTCCCCATACCCAATTACACCGTTGCCGGCTACACAATAATATGATATTATAACACTCTCTACACTCTATAGTTTATATCAATTAAATGTGGTATATATGAGAATATGAGATCCGCGTAAGTGTAATATAAATATATAATAATATAAAGCATAAAACGAACCTCCAAAAATGTGCAATAATGCTTGTAAAGCTTGTATACACTATAATAGTGCATGGAAAATATACTTATGTCATGAAGTAATTATACTAAAAACTGGCATGCGTTACACGACTATTATAGTATATTTTACCAAGGCTACGGATACTTGTATTTAATAAACCTATACACACGTTATCAGGACTGATTTTAGGGACGATGCCCGATGCGAGACCATGGCCTAAGGCCCCAACCAGATAGGTGGCCCCCACAATTTTTTTTTTTTTGAAAATTAATAAAATTATTAAAAATAATTATTTATCTGGATACAGTTTTTATACACAGCATCAGGGACGTATTTAAGAGGTCACTAGGGGCCAGTACCCCTTTTCCCATTCGTCATAATCAAACTTTTTTTATTACGGAGAGTAGATGTCTAATATAAGATACAGGATTTAGGCAGCCACCCATGGCATTTTCCCGCAGCCACCCATGGCATTCGTGTTATTCCTATAAATGATGATTGGCGTGATGTTTCCATTATATGTATTATAGTAATAATTTACGTAAACATTTTTGTGCCCTCCTCCCACCCATTAGACATTTCTAAATACGCCCCTGCATAGCATTTTGGCAAAATCACTTCTATATTTACAACGTCAAGTCGTCAACTTATAAAGCTTAAGAGCTAGGACGCCATACCCGCGTCTCCGTCTTACTGACGCATAACATAACAATATGAATAATTCATTTAACTCTGTTAGGTCTAATTTTGGAGTGAATTGACCTTATACCAAATTCAGGAATAAGAATATGATCTACTGATCTATATAGTCAATGACGTTTTGATTTTAATTTTAAAGTAAGTTATGAGCGTTTTAAATGTACAAACAATTTACTATTTTAAAATCCTCATATTATTACATAGGATAGTATTACACATTAGTATATTACTATAATAATAATTATTTGAAATTCATATTTTTCATTATTGAAAAAATATTTATAAGTGGAGCGCATTCATCAAGCACTGGGCCAGGAGGTCCCAAATTATAAATCTGGCCCTGGACATTAAGCTGCTTAAGGGCTAAGACTTAAACTAGATATATACAAATTACAAATACTAAGTATACCTATTACCTACTCACAATATTTATCATATTAAAACCTGGTCGAATGTGTTTTTACGTTAACTAGTACAGCGTTCAACCGCGGTACAACCGGACGGACGATCTCGTCAAACTATTACACTGTTTACATTTGCAGTGTGTGTTTGTCGTTGATGTCGTGAAAGAGGCTACAACGTTAATGATATAATATGAGGTACACTGTCGCAGAATCAATACCCGAACTTCTATTTATCCATCACACTCAATCCGGGTGATCTGAACTTCCGCGAGATTCATTCCCCGCCAGTCATTCGATTACAGGGACACTAATTTTTCGATAATAAACAATTGTATGAGCTATGAGGACAAAGTACGTGTGTTATCTAACTATAGATATTTTTGTCATAAATAATATTATAATATGTAAACAATTTTGGACTCGAATTTTATAATGTTTACTATACCGTCCCGTTGCTATCATATCCCCTTTTCCACTGTCTGAAATACAATTCTTATACTAGTCTATAAAGAAAGATCTGTGTTCATTCAAATCGCAAAAGAACAAACAAAAACCCATCGATCTATCGTCAAAAACTACTTTCAATTTTATTGATAGAACATTTGCATTAAGATTTTAAAATGTCTCACTTATTCCACCCTATTAACAACATTCCCTATAATGTTTTAATTAGTATAGCATTAAATATATTTTGTTATATTGCTTCATTTAATGCAATAAGTAGGTATAGAGTAAGATCGTTTTGTTGAAACGAATAAAAATATATATTCTAAGATCCACTATTATAAACGAAAAAATGTCATCACTTTCCGTGACTTTTTCTATGACCTTTTAAAACAAATTGATTGGTGTAAGATTATCTATTAGTTTTCAACAATCAAATAAAGAAAAAAATAATTTAATATCAACCAAAGCTTATTTGAAAAATATGGTACTGTTTTTTAAAACAAATATATGTGTGAGATATAATTATGTAATACATATTATTTAAAAATGATCATTTGTTTGTTTATAGTTATTTTAATTATATTATAAACACGTTTAGGAATTTTATACGTGAATATACCAAATTGTTCATACCAAATTGTATTCTATTATGTTCTTAAGAACTGCTACTCCAGCACAAGCTATGCTTACCGGGGGTGCTGCAATATTGTATTTATAATCGTAAATTTTAACGTAACCACTTGTAATGTTGCAATAAACTTATTATTATTAAAATATAAGAGATTGGCTGGGAAAGAATAGTAGGCCGCGGTGTAGTCACTTTCCATTTCACTATAATGATTTTTAATAGAGCGGTACAAAGTATTTTGCCGCTGGTGGTTAATGCAGCACCAAGTGCTATATAATGCTGTATACACACGCATGTAGGTACATCAAATTTTGTTAAGATGAAATTAGTATTTTACTGAACTCTGGAACTATTTGTCCGATTTGTAGCTGGTCAACTGTATGCTACAATACGTAATATTATATAGGTGCTATGTATTCCTCCAAATATATAATACAGTGGGATAAATGTATATAATATAAATATTATTTCTACAGATAACAGATGACGGCTGTAGTCGTAGAACCCACTGGTCGTTTGGCGGTAGGGCTTCAAGCGGCGATGGTGGTAGTTATGGTGTTGTTGCTGGAGTGGCCATCCGCAGCCAGCGGCGCCAGGATACTGGCCGTGTTCCCGTACAACGGTCACAGTCACTTCGCCATGGTCGAACCGCTGATGGTCGCGCTATCCGAACGCGGTCACCATATTACAGTGATCAGCCCGTTCCCGCGACGCAAAGGCAGCGGCGGCGGACGTCGGTACGTGGACGTGGACGTGTCGGACACGCTTCCGCCAGTCATCAGCCAGCTGAACGTGACAAAAGAGTTCGGGCACCTTGTGGATCCGGTTACCGGGTTTAGACACCTGTGCCAAATGAATCACCGGGTGTGCGAAGCCACTTTTGAACACCCACTAGTCCGTGCGCTGATCCACGAACCCCTCAGATTTGACGTAGTGTTCGCCGAAGCATTCGCCACCGACTGTTTCGCAGCGTTTGCGCACGCGTACGACGCACCACTGATCTCCATCCGGACGTCCGATTACTCGCCGCAGCTCAACCGGCGCGTGGCCAACCCTCAGAACCCCGCGTACCTGGTCAACCACCTGCTCACGTACACCAGCCGTGGCATGTCGTTCGCCCAACGATTGGTCAACGCTCTGGCCACGCACTTCGGCGTCGTCGGTTACCACGCCTTCTCCGACGGTCCGTCCACCGAACTGGTCCGGCGGCACTTCGGTCCCGGTACACCACCGGTTCCTGAAATCGCACGCCGGCGTACTGCACTAGTACTGGTCAACGCCCATCACAGCTTGACTCAGCCCAGGCCAACGGTACCCAATGCGGTTGAGGTGGGTGGCCTGCACATTGCACAGCCTGCGGAAATTGAAAACGTAAGTATTATACATTCAGGCGTAGGAAGCCTCGACAACCCTCCTTACCAAAAAAATACACTACAATACTTGCATACGATCAAATTGGAAAACTAGTTCAAAAATTATTCAAATTTTGAAACATATACAAAACAAAACAGATTTTTTTTATCGTACCTAACAAATAAATTCAATACAATACATCAATTCACTTTATAATATAATTATGTCCACAAACCATATTATTAATTGTTCATCATAATATCATCATTATTATTTACATTTTGATAATATCATTGTATTTCTTGTACTGGTCATGCAATAGGAATGGTCAGATTACTGCGATCTGTGTGACCAAGGTGTCATTTACGTGTCTTTTGGTTCGTTGTTGAAGGGATCGTCGTTTCCGCTACAGTTCACGATGGCGTTCGTACGAGCCTTCGAAGCTCTACCGTATTGCGTGCTGTGGAAATACGAAGGCGAAATGATATCCAAACGAATTAAAGTGTCCAAGTGGATGCCCCAACAGCAGATCCTTGGTAAGGTCCATGAAGGAAATGTATTCGTTATGCTGATAATTGAATATTATAACGATGACCAGTTATTCTTTGTGCAAAACCATACAATAGTCGAATGAATCCCGGGTCCCCAACCCTACATTAAGACTCGAAAGTAGTCGAAACCACATATACATATACAAAATTAATTGAATACAACTTAAAAGTCCGTTTTTGACAATTTCAAACTCATAACATTAAGATCGACTGTTTTCGAGTGTTATTAATTTGATTTAAGAGGGAATGGTTAAAATGTTTATCTTCCTAAATATTGAGAACGCCTAGTCGCTAGCTAACCTAAACAAATGTCTGAAAGATTGAAATAATTACTAAAAATATACTGTCTTAACTATTGTGATACGTATGTCCATAAAAACCACTAATATTATATATCTTATACATATACTAAAACAACACGGCGTTGTATATAGGCTATTTTTAGTACACACCTACCGTCGCGCGTCGTCTCATTTTATTACAATTATTACTATAGTATAGTCTATATAATATGATATGGTTGTACATTCGCAGGTCACAAGAACGTCAAGGTATTCATAACGCACGGTGGCCTTATGGGCGTCATGGAGGCTGTCTACTTTGCAGTGCCGATGATCGGCATACCTGTGTTCGGCGATCAACAGTCGAACGTCGCTAACTGTGTCGCAAAAGGCATAGCCATCGGACTGAACCACCGACAGATAACCGTTGAAAAACTGATCAAAAGCATACAAGCCGTCGTCATGGACAGCAAGTAAGACTAAGTCTGATATGTTATCAATATATATATTTATTTGATAGAATATGTATAATGCAAGAACCGCCTTTACAAAAGCAACCCCCCAGGAAATCGCTCTGCTGTGTATTAATAGTGTCGAAGAATCACTGTAACGAATGTATTAAATTTGAATTCTATTTGATAAATCATTCTCGAATTTCCAAAAAAAATTTAACAAAAACAAAATTTAAACTGTGCAGGATTTGCAATAACGATATTTTTTAATTGTGATCATAACTCATAAGTTATAACAAATTATGAGGAACTACATTGTATTCAATTCTCAAGCTATTTAACTATAACAAACGCAGAATGTATCATATACATTATAAGTCAAATAAAAGCTAAGAAAGTCGAAAATCTCAAATACCTATAAATAGATTAAAAGAGCTAAAATATTTATACATCTAAGACATGCGAATATAAATATTTTGTGAAAAATTCATGTCTCAATACAGTTAATCATTATAAATAAAAAAAAATTGATTTTATACGTAAATAATTAACGATACATTAAAATTATGTTATAAGCGAAAGTTAAATGAACCAACAATTGTTTCGAAAAAATTGTATGTAGGTAAATATTATTTATGCAAATGTCTTTACTAACTAAATAGAATGCCACTTATTACCACGTGAGAATAATATAATGAGCATTGAATTTAAATACCTTGAATTTAGGATAACCCACAAAATCACGACACTAAATATACACCATCAAGAGTTTTTGTTTTGCACTTGTACATTGCACAATACACACAATATTATAACGTTCATGAAATGTATTTAAGATACAAGTCAAAGGCATTCGAGTTGTCGGCAAGATTCAGGGACAGGCCGTCAAGTGCACTGGAAACGGCTGTGTTTTGGACCGAGTACGTGATCAGACATGGCAATGAGACCAACACTGCATCTCTGGCGATAGATTTTGATTTTTACCAATATTTTTTGTTGGACGTGGTCCTCGTCGGGCTGTCGATTTTGTTATTTTTATTTTACACAGCGTTCCGCATAAAAAAATGTATAAGATAAAATGTTATAACAGCGTATTACTCGTAAGTCGTAACGCGATTAATAACATCTGAAAATATCCAAAACCGAAATGAACATTTATTATTATTTTTATTAATTATATTATTGATAATTATTTTGTAATTAAAAGTTGTGTAATGTTATCTACTATACCGTACCATTTTCAATGTTCATAAACAATATTATCAAATTAATTAACTACATTTATCGTCACTGCATTTTTTACAATACTATACATAAGTTATACAAAATAATATAATTAACTGTATATAAAATAAACAAATTGAGCAATAATTCTGAAAATAAGTATAATTTGTTTTTAAAAATTTCCCATATTTAAAATATAATAATAATAAAATATAATTTAATTTACATACTATAATAAGTAATACCAATTGTTGTTTAATTAATACGGTGCGCCGTGTCGTATTCGATGACATACATCTAAGCGACCGTTTCTTTTTTACTCATCCACTCTTCGATTTCTTCGACACTAATACAAAATAACATATTAAAGACACAAATTAACATTGACTTACACAGTTAGTAGTTATTACATAGTAAATGCTACACTAATGTTTGCTATCTCTCTTAAATATTCCCTCAAGGAACAATAGTACAATAATAAAAAACTACGCTCTTATGAAATTTAAATTAGGACTGTATAACTATTATACGTCATAATATCTAGCCTTTTACACTACTTTCATTTATATACACCATAAAACATGCATTTGTTTAAAGTCAAAATATGCAATAATATGCTATATGCCTATTGTGCATGGTTCTTAAATTATGTAAAAATATGCAAAATAAAAAATAGATCCTAGTCCAAACTTAGGTTCAAACTCCGCTTGGATATAAATGCATAATAAACAGATCGTGCAGTCTTTCTCTATGACTTTATACCGATATGCAGAAACAGCAAACATCGTCGGTGTCCCATCGACAAAAGTACAAAACTTTAAACTTTAAACTTACGTCCTTGGTACAGGGGTGTAGTTTTCGATTCCACGTTTCGTAACAAAAATGTTGTCTTCTATGCGCACGCCGCCAAATTTCCAAAACCGTTTTAGCACTTTTTCGTTCAAGAACCTGGACAGTACTGGATCACTGAGAGCCCGCTTTAACAGCTGAAACATTCACACGATAAAGTTTGAAATAGCAGTTTCGTTTTTAAGTTTAGTAGGTATACTGAAACCTACATTTGGAGGGGTTAATTTAGAAATTAGGCGACCTTCACTAACAAAAAAAAGACATTTTAAAATAAATTGCCTAATCCAAAAAATATTGGCAGGGAGGTTATGTCCACCCCCTCCAGCGTTAATAGTTCAACGTACCTACATTACATAAGGATAAATTACCTACAAAACGCCTGCACGTATGCAACATCTCACCCCATATTACAGTGCACAAAATCAAAATTAAAAACACCAAACCAAATAAAATTTCAAAAAACGTATTGTTATACCGGTTCGATGAAATAACATCCCGGCTCAACTGTGAGTGCCATGCCCTCTTCCAAGTTCCTGGCCGTTCTCAGGGCCTTGACGCCTGGCTTTAGCGGTCTGTCCGGGTGTCCTTCCAAGTAACCACCAACATCGTGCACATCAATTCCCAGTAGATGCCCCAGACCGTGTGGTTGGAATATGGCGGCGAGACCGGCTTCGTACATTTCGTCGACGTCACCGCGAAGTAAATCAATTTCGCGCAGCTCTTTAAGAGTGACTTTGTTGGCCAATATGTGCATGTCCACCCAGGAAACGCCTAAAACCACATAACTTTAATATCGGACCCAGACAATGATGATCACGCGGATACTTGCGTGTTTGGAGAATCAGTGTGAAAAATGATCATTTTTTAATACCTACTATTATTGAATCAGTTATAGTACGCATCCATGTATAGGTATGGGTATTACCTACATATTCATATAGTACGTTTATGGACAAATGGTAAGCAATTAAAGCCAATTAAAAATGTACTTAATGAATCGTCTTGCTCATCATTACAAAGAAAAATCATCGTATTACAAACAAATAAAACTCTATTATATTACCTAACCTATAAGCAATAAGCATTATTTTTTTTCATGATAATGAAACTACCATTGACAAAAAACAATATTTCAAAGTTAAAATAGCATTGATTTCGAAATCATGGTGGCGAATTTGAGGGCCTAACTTGGAGGAATTCAAGTAAGCCCATATTAACAACTTAATAAATGTATAGGTACCTGGTTTTATGGCGTTCATAACGGCACGGCTGGCCGCAAGCACGGCGTTGTAAATCGCGCGTTGATCATCGGTAAACTTTCCATTAGCCGGAAACGATACGGTCACATCTGCCGTATAGCCGCTGTACGATGCTCCCATGTCAAACAAACTGCAAACCGACAAACACAAGTCAAATATATTTATTTCAACAACTGATATAATATTAAATCGGATAATCGCAATAACTAATGAGTAATGACTAATAACTCATCAACTATCGTATTGTACCTAATCAATAAGTTTACTTGAGTAGGTAAGTAAATAAGTCGTACTTATTATTCATAGATCCACAGCACTGTGCATCATACTACACGGCTATGCTGCAGCAATACTGTGATTTGGGATGCAGTAAGAATACATTTAAGGTAATAGTACTTGATATAATATTTTGTGATTAACGAGTTTAGAATAAATTCCGTCAAGATATCGGGATAGTATAGGCGTGTTAGCTAGGTGGCTTTTTCTTTTAGTATTGTAAAAACGTTATCTTTCTTTGCCATCGTACCAGACAGTACGTTGACAGTGTTTATAAAATAGAATCAAGGAATTATTCACAGGGGTTATACTACAAAAAAATAAAATGTTGCCTTAACTGCCTAAAACTTGCCTAAGCTACGTCTAAATTATAGATAATTTACATTTAAAAAAAAAATCAAAATATGTAGCTGCGCAACGAATTCAATGTTTGTTAACTATTATCCTCGACCTACAACGGAAAGAGTTGATGTTTATCATCCGTCGTATCGTCATAACCAAAATATACATAATATTTACTGCATGACTTACTTTCTATAGACGCTAGCGTGTGTTTTACAATAACAAATAAATAACAAATCAGGTATACAGAGTGATTCACCAAGCATGCTCAGCTCACCTCTATGTTTTTCATACATAATATACTTATTAAAATTCTGATTATTAGACGTTTTAAGCACCTATAGATATACTTAGGTAAGTACCATATTTTAAAATATTTAGATTTGATAATACAAGTTCTAAAAAATAATCATACAAAAATATTAAATTTATGTAGTACCTATTTAATTTCATACTCATAGCACTCGATTTTTTTCTAACTATAAAATGCTAATACATTAATTTTAATTAGTATAATTTTAAAATCTTCATGTCACCCATACCTTCCAAACCTATTATCATGGACCTAAAATATTATAATATACCTATTTCTTATACACAATTTTAAACAATACAAACACTACTTGACTAGTTCGATTTTCAATTTAAATACATATCAACATACAATATTTTCAGAAAGTCATTTTCTGACATTTTTCAGGAAAGAAGAGTGATTCTGACTTTAAAAAAATAAGTTGGTACTGCTAATTGCCTTAGACCATGCTTTAAATAGTATAAAAAACTAAGTATTTGAAAATATGGTCCTTAAGTACAATTATTAGTTCAAAATTCTAAAATACAAGCTTTTAATAAATGCATTATTAAAGGAAAACGAGGCGAACGTGCTTGGCTAATCATTCTGTAGAGTGTAGATTATACCATCAAGTTTTAGGGACAAAATCACAAAATAACTGCAATAAATACAAGAAGAAATGAGATTTACATACTTATTACAGTTAAACTGTATCGATCTCGTGCAATGTTCTTTGTGTAATTGTGTCATATATATATAATCGAAGAGCTGATGTCAGAAACTAAATGTTTTATTCAATTTTTGACGCATACCTATACTATATGCTAATTCTTTATTATTTTGTACATATATTATGGAACGTAGGTATGGTTCAACAACGACGCTGAACGATAAGAATCACCTTTTTTTTTACAAACATTGTATTCTTTGTCATCGCGATAAATAGGTACTCAAACAATATTTAATAGACACAAATGTAGTTTTAAATAAATTTACATGTGTCAACACCTTTAAGTATGAACGAAATCTTATATTATATTTTATTATTTTCATACTATAGTATTATACCACATATCGCCGTCATCTATCTCTTTAGAGTTGGGTTCCGTGGCGTGTCCGTAGTGCAGGACAGCGCCGTTCATGCCTGAACAGCATATGTTGTTATAGCCCACGTGCCTGCACCCGCCGACGTAATAAGCATAATGGAGGAAGTTAGCTTCGCATTGATATTCGTACATGCCCGGCTTACACTTCGCCATCACGGACTTGTGAGCGTTGCAAGTGACTTTCGTTGCGTACCTCATGACTTCTTTTTCGTAATCAGTTTTGATAACGCGGCTGAAACATAAAAATAACATACAAAAACATATACGCTATGATACGGTTCATATAATATATAGCACGCATGACCATAATATACATGCCACAATTGAAACAATAAAATCCCTTAAACTGATAAATTGTAGGTAAACATATCACTCAGTGTAAATTGTTTAATAATTCATGGGCCAAAATAAGAAAAAATAAATAGATTTATCTCAAAGTAATAGTATATTTGTATACCTTGTATATTTTTACCATTTATGTATAACATTACAATATTATAATGTTTAGGGCACATGTCGGTTTAAAAAGTATATAGGCAACCAAATTCACAAGTGAATGTGATGTTCTATAAAGCGGTAAAAAACTACAAAATGTATTATTGATATAATAATATTGTTATTTAATTTCTATTTTAACAATACTTTAATATTACTAGGTAATTCAAGACTAAAAATGATGTCACTCACACTACTTAATACCATTGAATAAATATAAAATGCATTAAACACAATAAAACATTTTTCAAACACGTTTAATAATAATATTACCATGTATGACATGAATAATTCAAAATTAATAATAAAAAGTTATTATTACTATTGGCATTAAATGTATAATATAAGTATTACTGAAAAACTAATGTTTTTATTTTTATTTTTTACTCTGAAATAGTTACAGTATTATTTATACTCACACACGTTTTAATAAGATTTTTTAACAGTTTATGGTTATTA